CTTCAAAACTTCAGCAGGCGTTTGTGATTATCCATCGAAACGAGCCGTTTGGACTTTCTGGAACTTAGCAGCCCGCTTTCCTCAACGGATATGACCGGTGATAAGGCTAGATTCCTTCACAAAGTGGATCGTGCACTACTGGACATAACTCGACAAAGTTTCACAATCAAAACACTATGTTGCTGGGTGCATGAACTTGATCAAGCGCGTGTGTCAGTAACAGTGTGACACCCAAATTGAATAACCAAATATCGCTGCGTGGGCCGTGGGCTGTGGCACCATCAATTGTTGCTTTTTTTTTGGGGGGGGGGAGGGAGGGGAGGGGGTGGCATTGTTTATTCAACTTTATTGTGTTTGGTGCTCACCATGTAAGTTAGGGGCTTGGCGAGCGGTGTGCTGAGCCTCAATTTCACTTTCGGGCCGAAGTTGGGTAATGGTCCCAGTGCAATATATATGCGCGGACTTGCGAGGTCCGCGCCCCCTGTTTGAATATATTCACAAAAAGAAAGATGTAACAGTTCCGTTCTTTGAACTTCTTTCCCAAAAAACTTTTATTTTTATTTTTATTTTTATTTTTACAATGAAACTTGTTTTGTTGCTTGCTGCACAAACTTGCCGCTGGTCAGGTGGAAATTGATGGAGAGCATATAAAGCTAGGAGTCTAGGACTTTTCCAACCGGTTACTAGACTTTCTGGATGTAATTGCAGTCGGATGCATCAAAGATGAGCCGTGATTGCAGGCAGGTACATCTACTAGGACAGGTGGTCATTGCAGCCAGGTGCATCTTGGAAAGCACCAGTGCAACTTGAGCTATTTTAGTAAATGTCTTGAGTCTTGAGTCTTGTGCGAATCCTATTTTAGGTAATCCGTTAAAATTGGAGCGACACAGAGAAGATTGATTAGCATGGCCCCTGCGCAAGAATGACACGCATAAATCAAGAAATGGTCCCAAAAAAATAGAAAAAAAGGTCACCTCTGCACTGCATTTCGAGCTATTTTCAGTAATATCAGCAGCACCAAATGATGGGTGGATATCACGACAGGCATGGATCCACTTCTGTACACCGTGCCATGGCTGTAGTGGTTAAGAAACTGGGCTCTTGAGGCTCAGGCCGCCGGTTCGAATCCGTGCGTGCATGGAGGACGTCCGAGACTGATAACAGGCTGTACTATAGCACAGCAACCGGCCTGGAAATCAGACCAGTATGGTGGTGGCCCATGGGTAAAGCCCCATGGTTAAAGCCCCATTGGAAAAGCAGTCGTTGCTGGATGGGAGCAGAGTGAGCGAGAACTGCCTGTGTGGCAAATGGCTGAGTGTGGCGTTGACCGTGTGCCACTGTGAGTGTGAGGTTGGACACTACAGCCATGCAGGGATAGACTTAAAGTTCATATAGTGAGTAGTGAGTCGTGAGTAGTGAGTCGCCATGTCCCTCCCTTTGTGGACAATGTGATGGCTGTAGTAGTGGTTAAAACACTTGGCTCGTGAGGCTAAGGACCTAGTACGGTCGCTGAGTTCAAATCTCTGCATGCATGGGGAGGGTCCAACGCGGATAAAAGAGCAGACTATCTTTCTGGTAGCTATCTTAGTATCTTTCTTGCAGCCACGCACAGTCTACTGTGCATTTAACGACCTTTGGATATCATGTTTGAGCTAACCAGCCCACAGTCAATTCAGAGTTATCTTTCTGGTAGCTATCTTCTTTCTTGTAGCCACTCCCACTCTACTCAGTCTATTGTGCATTTCGAGTTTTTTTTTTTTTGTGTGTTTTTGGTCAAGGGTGACGGCCTTGGGATATCATGTTTGAACTGACCAGCCCGCAGTAAATTCAGAGTTACTTTTCACTGTTTTCGGTCTATCATGTTTGAACCGACCATCCCACAGTAAATTCAGAGTTACTTTTCACTGTTTTCAGTCATCTCTTCTGCCTCCATTGGAATTCGAACTCAGGTCTGTGGTTCAACAGTTCATGGTGTGCCAACTGAGCTAGGCCAGTTGGCTCTTAACTTTTTGTCACTTTTTGAGCTCAGCCTGTTTTTAGCAACGTACTAACATCACAGCACACTTGTTCAAATTTGGACAATGACCCTCCCCTTCCCCGCTGATCCCCATGCTTTTTTGTCTTAAATTTTTATTATTATTTTTTAAACTTTTGTTTGATTTTCATAATAACTGTGTTCACCACTGGACCATCCACTGGCAGTGGATCAATACCCCCATTCGCCCGAATTTTCATATTCCGTACCCCCATGCTATATCCTGTACAACCTGGACAGAGTAACGTTCCACTCCCTGTCTGGATTTGCCTTAGAGGCATACACCTGCCTCTCCCTCTCTCTCTCTCTCTCTCTCTCTCTCTCTCTCTGTGCACCAGATATCAGTTTGAGATATCTGGTGCACAGAGAGAGAGAGAGAGAGAGAGAGAGAGAGAGAGAGAGAGAGAGAGAGAGAGAGATCAGTTTGACTTCTCCAGAAGTCAGACGTTCTTTTTTCTTGGGGGGGAAGGGCGGGGGGGGAGTGGGGGAGGAGTTGGGAGAAGTCAAAGAGAGTTGAAATTATATCCAGATACGATTCCGAGAGAATGTGGGGACCATGAAGAGTGGGCAAGTGGGGGAGGAGAGAAGAGGGAGGAGGGAGGAGGGAGGAGGGAGGAGGGAGGAGAGGAGAGGAGAGGAAAACCAGCTTTGTGACTGCGAGGGGGGAACATTTCCCTCGTGAGTCCTGACATGCAAATCACTCTTAAGCACAAATAGTGAGACTTACTGCAACTCGGCCGGAAGACATTCCGGCTCTCATCACAACTTTATCCCAATGCACTATAGAACGTACGGTATGTATGCGCCTGCATTTGGGCCAACTTCAGTCTAGATACAACGATAATGACCCTACGTTAGTTCTATTCGGAGGAGACGATAGAGAGCACTTGCTGTATAGTTCTCTTCTGATTTCTCAGGAACATGAAGATTCACTGAAACGAATGTCCGCGCTGAGGCGTGCTCCCTGCTCAAAGTCAAAAGTCAACGTCATAGTGATGACTCAAGATTCAAGAGTCAAGAGTCAATTAAAAATATATTTATTTATTCCAACTCAGCAGGACCCTAGCAGCACTCGGATCCTGTAAGAAAAAAGAAATGGGGGCATGGGGCCCTAACCTTGTGCCGCTGCCCCTAATCTAAATCCATCAGGGGAAAAAAAAAACAGTAGATGGGGCAGAAGCCGCAGAACCTGCAGAACCAAAAAAAGGTAAAGCACTCTGCCTCAACTGCGTTGGCTATAATGTTACAAAGTTAGGATGACTAGGTGCAACCTTCTCCCCCATTGACAGCCAACAGCTGTCATCATTTACCTCAGTCACTGTCGGCCCACGGCTTGCATTTACGGCGGTCATTACGGCTGTCACTATAGCTTCTGTGTTGGTGAACCGCAAGATGACGATGCTGGATCCGGTTTCCAGCAGGTGTGGCTCCCCACCAATAGTCTATTAATAGATTGGAAGCACCTGGCCTGGCTACTAGGGGGAGATGCACACATCACTCCTCCTAAGGCTCCTAGTAGTGGGGCAGGGGTTTCCAAAAAAAAAAATTAAAAAAAAATAAAGATGATGCGGTTGACGAATCACTCCTACAACGAAACCTCCTGTCTGTTCAAAACATGTTTCTAGCACTTCAACTACGGTTTCTAGCACTTTAACTACGGTTTCTAGCACTTTAACTACGGTAACTACCCCTTCCCATGGAACGGAGGAAATGAAATCCGAAGTCCGGAGCTTGAACCCACGTGCAATCTTGTTGTAGTATGTTGATTTCACAAACCAATGTCTTCAGCCACTCTGCCAGCATACCTCCTCGCGGAGTCTCGGGAAAAAAAAAAAGACCGCAGGATTTGAACCCCCGACTACCTTCTTCGCCCGAATAAAACGCCCGGTCATTGCTGCTGCATCCGGTCTGAAAGTTGGCCCAAATCCAGCCATAATGACCGCGGGCGTTCTATTCGGGTCGGTAGCATACAAAGGATGCTGATCGCACAGAAACCTGGCTGCATGCTGCTCGCTATGCTTGGACCTGGGTTTAGGAAACAGCAGTCTAAACAGAGTCGACTTGAACAGAGTCAAACCTTAGTTAACAGTTGACTGAGCTTCAGGTAACGGTTGACTCGACTTCAGGTGACAGTCGACAGAACTTCAGTTTCTACTGGTAAAAATGGACTTAACTCAAGTTGAGTCTGATCGGACTCGACTTGGGGTTACCGTAGCTGTTTGACTCAGCTGCAGGTAACAGTTGACGCAACTTCAGTTCGTAATACTCGTAAAGGTAACAATGGACTCAAGTTGAGTCTGATCTGAATCAACTTCAGGTAACAGTTGACTCAACTTCAGCCTTCCGGTAGGTAACCGTTGACTCAAGTTCAGTTCATACAGTAACAATTGACTCAAGTTGAGTCTGATGGGACTCAACTTCAGTTAACAGTTGACTCAACTTCAGTTAACAGCTGAGTCGAGCTGACTCAACCTCAGTTAACAGTTGACTCAACTTTAGGTAACAGTAGACTCAACTTTAGTTCCTACAGGTAACAAACAATTGACTGAAGTTGACTGAAGTTGACTGAAGTTGACTGAAGTTGACTGAAGTTGAGTCTGATGTGACTCGATGAGTCTGGTCAGAGGCAAGTTGAGTCTTTGAGTCTGATTTGACTGGATGAGTCTGATCAGACTCAACTTCAGTTAGCACAACTTAGCAGTTGACGTAACTTCAGGTAAGACTTGACTCAACTTAGCAGCTGACAGTGAACTCAACTTCAGTTCCTCCAAGAGGTCCACGTAAGTTGAGGTAACAATCGACTCAAGTTGAGTCCGATCAGACTCAACTTTGGCCACTTGCTTCACTCAGCTGTCTGAAATCTTGCACTGCACCGTGCCGGGCATGACAGATAGGAGGAGGAGGAGGAGGAGGAGGGGGAGGAGGGAAGAGGAGAATCGGGATAGCAGCCTAGCATGTACAAGATAGACAGCAACCTCTTTTGTTGCTGTGGCCAGGCCGGCCTGGGCTATGGCCTCTTTCATTTTGGCCAGTTTTTTTTAAAGCACCAGTACACCACATATCGGCCTACGGGTGTCAGCATGAAACCCGCACCACTTCTGAGGCCGCCGGTTTTTTTTTTTGGCGGGCCTGGCCGCGCAACGCCTCCGAGTTTTGCTTGTGGCCACAAAAAAATTCTGCAAGGCTGAGGCCGTGTACTAGCGGTTTAAAGCTAAAACGTTGGTCCTCCTTCTGGAAGGGAGGGCAGCTTCCCAAGGTCAACATAGATTGGTTGTCAGTTAGGTGGGTATGTGCTGCAGCTCTCATTCCACGCTTGCTTGCTTTTCCATCTCTATTCCAGTCGTGTCAGCGATGGCGGCGATGGTTCTCCCAGCTGAAGTAACTTCTTTACCCGGTTCTACTGCACCAGACGCCAACTGAGTTTCAGGCAAGGCGGCAGCCTGACTTTCTTGTACATTACCAGTATCCGGAGTCAAGGTAGCATTCTGATCGTCTGGGGGTACATCCGCGTCAGCTGTGGGGGAGAGGATCATTGAAGGTGATCCTTCGGGCCTTTCTACACTACCAGCATCCTGAGTAGCGACTGTAGCATTCTGATCGTCTGGGGGAACATCCGCCTCGGCTGTGGGGGAGAGGATCGTTGGAGGTGATCCTTGGGGCCTTCCACTAACCGATGGGAACCCGTCCATGAGTGGGAGCATTTCCCTCGACTTGGGACGGCGAAGAACGGTTTCGTTGATTCTATCGTCTTTGGCACCTCTCATCTCAGCAATCAATTGCTCCTTCTTTGCCAGCTCAGCTTTCAAGGTCTGGATTTCCAGTTTCTGGCCGTCCGACTCCTTAATGGCCAACTCAGCTTCGCTGATTGCCGCCTGCATGGCCGCAAGTTGGGTATCCATCGCCTCTTCGAGGTGAATCCGTGAGGAAGACGTCATGGAGGATGGAGAGAGGGGGGCTGCATTGTCTGCTTTGGATTGCAACTGTGATGCCATGCCTATGATTGCCTCTGAAGGAGAGAGTGGCTCCCTATGCCTGGAGGGTGCAGAAACTCGGGACCGGCCCTTGGGAGATGTTACAGGGCCCCCAAACTCCTGGAGGTCCTTTGCCCTCTGGGCTGACTGCTTCAGTTGCTTCATCTCTCTCCTCAGTTGATTGATCTCCTTGATGAGAGATACATTCTCCTGAATTATCCGGGTGTTGAGCGTTCTATGCACATCCATATCCTTGTCCAGTTTGCGCTTCAATCCATCAACGGTTCGCTCCAAGTACTCTCTCTGTCTGTTGTACTCCTGCAGGATGTCGTCGTCGATTACTTTGTGTTTGGGAGCGCGGCTGACGTACTTGTGGTACATGGTCTTGACGGCTTCTTTGAGTGCTCTAGGGTCTTGGATCAGCTGTGCGGTCTCGTAGAGATCGTGCTCGAAAGTCACGATCTGGCTCGCCGCGTCCGCATGCGCACGTTTGATCCTCGCGACCTCTCGCTGTTGTCCGTCTAGCTTGAGCTTCAGCTCAGTTATGGTCAGTTCCAGGTTGGCGTTAGCCTTGTGGTATCTCTCCAACTCCTTGTCCATGTCCTTGATCTGCTCCTTCATCTCCGCGATCTCTTGCTCCCTAGGTTCTATCTGCTTCTTCAGCTCTTTGATCTTGTAATCGAGGACAAACTTGAACTTCTCTAGCTCCTGGTTCTTCTTCTTGAGGTCGTGGATCCGCTTCTCCTTGTCGCCTATGGTCTCGTCTCTCTCCTTGATCTCCTTCTTGAGGCCACTGATGTCCTTTTCCAAGCTCGCGATGGTCTGATAGAGTTCCTTCTTCTGCTCAAACAGCTGCTTAATCTCCTCTTTCTGGTCTTCGATGTCCTTCTGCAAAGCGTTGAACTTCTTCTTCATGATGCCGTTCTCACCCTTCAGGCGAAGGCCCACTTCTCTCTCTTGGGCAAGCTTGGCCTCGTATCTTTCCTTCAACTCTTCTATCTCCTGATCGGCGTCCTCCTCCAGCTGCCTGGTCGTCTCCTCATGCTCTCGTACCGCATCTTCCTTATCTTGCTCCACCTTCTCCAGGGCGGTATGCTCCTCCCCCAGCTTCGACTCGTACTCCTCTGTCAGCTCCTGGATTACCTGCTCATGGGTCTCCACCAGCAACGCATTCTGTTCGTCCCATTTCTGATTGAGCTGCTCCTTCTCCTGCATGAGGGCTTGATATCTCTCCACCTCCGCCATGATCTTCTGCTGGTATGAGCCTTCCATGCTGGCCATTTGCTGGGCATACTTCTCCCTCTCTTGCTTTATCTTCTCCTCATATTCCATCTCCTGCTCGGTCTTCGTCTGCAGCAAAGTCTCGTATCTTGACTTCGCCTGGTCTAGCTCGTGGGTGAACTTATCCGTTATGTCCTTTATCCTTTCATTGAGGTTCAGATCTTTGAGCCGCAGCTGATACTCATTCTGCATGGTCAATTCGTTGACCTGCTGTTCCAGCTCCGTAGTTCGCACCTTTTTCTCCTCTAGGTCCGACTTTGTCACAAGCACCTCCTCAGCATAGGTGATGGCCTCCTTCTCCCTCTTCGCAATGCTCGAAACGATTCCCTTCTCCTTGTCACGGACGTCGAACATGAACAGACACCCGTCCTCTCCCGCCACAAAGAGCAAATTGTCGTCGTAACTGAGCCGTATGCGGGACACCGCACTGCAACAAGACTGCACCTCTTGGAACTCCCCCGTCAAGGGGTATCGATAAGCCCTGACGGTTCCGACCTCGGTACCGGCAAACAGCAGCCGACCATAAGAGGGGAGGGCGATCTGGGTTAGAACCACCGTAGCATTGTACTGCTTCACCACCTGCGAGTCGTCAATCTCCTTCAGCTTCTTGTCACTTCCAACGGCGAAGACGGAGTTGGAGTCGTAAGACCCATGCACGCAGGAGTAGCCGCAACCCTTGATGACGTTCTCCGTCTCCCTCTTGCACTCTTTTAGTGTCCATTCATACACAGCTCCATCCATGCCCGCAGTGACTAGACCAGTGTCGTCGACCGTCCAGAACACGCTCCGGACCTTCCCGTTATGGCCCCTAAGGTTGCCTACATTCTCACAAGTGTAGGTGTTAAAGATCTGGATAGTGTTGCTGTGCGCCGCTGCAAAGTACTGCCCTCCATGACTGAACACACACTCCTTGCAGGCCTTGATTCCAAACTCTTTGTACACCCTCAAGTCCTCCATCAGGATATTGATGAGCCTCAGTTTGTCTGAGAAGCCCACCACAAGATGGAAGCCACTAGGATGCATGGCCACGGAGTGGGCCTCTTCGTTGAAGAACCTCAGGAGCTCACAAGTCTTATCAAGATAGTTCCAGATGCGAACGCTCTTGTCGGTGCTGCAGGTCACCACCAATGGCTTTCGAATGCAAACGTCTAAGCCGGTGATAGCGTCAGAGTGAAAGGCCTGAGCAAGCAGCTCCATGGTGGTGCCGTCGGCTTTGGTGATGTCGCTGGTGGCCAGAGATAACACAAAAAGCTGGTTGTTTTCCAAGGTGCAGACAATAGTCTCCTCGCTGGGGGAGATGGCAAGGCTGCACACCTTGACGCTGTTGTTCTCGATGCTGAAGGATCGAACCCTCTTGTAGGGCCCCTCTTTCTCCCTATCCGTGTCCACCTTCTCGTACATCTCTATCATCCCACTCTCTCTGCCACAAATGAACCCTCTGGAGTACCTGACGATGGCCTCCACTATCCCAGCCTCTTCTCCCGCAACAGACCCTATGACGGCCCGGGTTTCTCCCCCTTCCACCAGCAACATCTCCCCCGTGTCCGTGGCCACAATACACCTCTCTTTCTCCCCCCTCTCTCCCCCATCCACCAGCCACGCATGGCAGGGATACGTCTGCGGGTCCCTCTTTATCAGGCTATTAGGGACCTGCTTCAAGGAGAAGTCTGTGGCCTTGAACATCTTCACGAACCCACTGCCAACCACGCTAATCATCGAAGAGTCGCTAGGATTGAACTGCACTTGGAACACTGTCCCACCCAGCTGATTGGTAGTCCGGGCGGAGCAGGAGAGCTTGCTCTTCTCCCAGATCCAAAGGACCAGGTTCCAGTCGGGAGCCCCAGCCTGAGCCGCGATGGCGCGACCGTCGGGACTGAAACACAAACTAACGTACTCGTTAGATCCCACGTCGGGACCGGAGAGAACTTTCCTCCTCTTGAGGGTGTTGATGTCATAGATAGTGATGCTTGGAACTCTGGTCTCAGAGGCGACACCCATCCCGGACACCTTGCTCATATCAGACAGCATGGAAGCACGCGATGCAGTACCTGGGCCCCCACCCAACTCACCGCCGCTGGAAACCGCACCCCCAGCAAAAGCGACCGCCGCGGAGGAAGGGGAACCGATGGGCGATGAGGCACGCTCTGCCACAGCCACTACCTTCCTGTTAGGACTCAGGGCTATGGCTGAAATCCCGTCCGTGTCCGCCGTGCCTGGAATGAACTTCTGCGTCCGCTGCTCGATGTGGTAGAGGACGGTGTTATGACCCGCTGGATACACGACACTCGTCTCGTCGATGAAGTGGATGTTGTCCCTCACAGACCCCTGCAACCCAAAAACGTACTTGGGCACTAACGACGCCATGGGTATGCAATATCCGAAAACAAAGACGATAAGATGAAGTGGCGACAAGAAAATATAAGCCTATCGCAGGGCGGACGCAGGCTATAACATACAACTGGACATGCTGCGGCTTCGCTGACAGGATTAGTGTGGTGTGCGCGCGCGCGCGCGCGTGTGTGTGTGTGTGTGTGTGTGTGTGTGTGTGTGTGTGTGTGTGTGTGTGTGTGTGTGTGTGTGTGTGTGTGTGTGAGAGAGAGAGAGAGAGAGAGAGAGAGAGAGAGAGAGAGAGAGAGAGACGGGGGACTCAGCGGGAGCGTGTGTGCGTGTGAATGCGTGCCCCCCGCGCGCTATCGGTGAGTGCGGTGCTGTACGTGTGTGCGGGTGACTGCTTGGGCCACAAGTGCAGCCACGGACACACTGTCAGGCATTTGGCCGTCCACCCACACATGCATCACACTGCAACAACGCGCAAGGCTGTCTGTGTTGCGTTTGTGTGTGCGTGTTCCCTTCGAGTGCGGGCCGCGCCCTGGCGATCTACTGCTTGCATTGTCACATCGTCTCCACAATCTTGGTTCTGTGTGCTTCATCATCGCCTTGCTATCTTGTTTTCTTCACCGATCGAACACAGCGGTAGTCCACGCAGCCATGTGTGGGCTTGCGCGCTGGTGCGTCTGTTTGTCTGACCATTGTTCTCTCTCTCTCTCTCTCTCTCTCTCTCTCTCTCTCTCTCTCTCTCTCTCTCTC